CTTGGGCGCCTCTCGTCCCCCGGGGCCTGCCCCGGGGCTGGGCGGACTCTGTGTCAGCGCCCGCAACAAGGCCCGGGCTTGGCTGTGCCGGGGGTTCCTCTGGCAGAAGCAGTTAATTTTCTTTAATTTGCCACTGAGAGCTGCCAGGATTGGGCTTGCACAGTTTAAGCAGGGGTTTGCTCCGGGTTTGTTTTTACCTGAAATAATCCGGGGAACATTTGCTCAAAATGTAATTATAGATTGGTAATAAATCCTGGAAAAGGGTTAAGAAGAATGGCTGGGATGATAATATCTGTTCAGTGACACAGTTAATTGCCTGCTTTTGGCTTAGATGAGACTATAAATCTCACACGTAAGTAGACCAAATAGCTGCCAACTGGCTTCCTGTGAGTACTTGCTGCACGATTTCTTCATGAATTGTTGAAAGCTTAGGGGAAATCTCTTCACCTTTAGGTCATTATGTACTTTCAGAGTTTTTATAGTTGTATTGCAATGCCTTTTTGCCACCTGTGTGATGTGTTAGGTCTGCTGGAGTGCACCTAGTGTCAAAGGCTGATGGGATTATTTTAAGAAAAGCAGTTCAAGTGAGCGGCTGAACTTCGCTCCTGTGGAGTGCTCTGAAGTGAGCAGAGGTTCAGCTGAATGTGGCAGAGATGCTGTGTCCCCAGGGACACCTGACAGCAGGGAGATCCAAGTGGGATGGTCACTGTTCTGATGAGCTATGGCAGTGTTGTGAAGGATGTTGTTTTGTCTTACTTGTGCAGAAAATATAATTCAGCTTTCTAAGAAAAACTTCTGGTGTGTTCAAGTTGCTTTGCATCTTAAGATACAGCAGTTATTGTAATACCTCAACTCTGTCCATTTGGCTGCAGCCATTATCTGATGTGGAAACCAGAAATTCTCTTATTTTTCCATTGAGTCCAGCTACTTCATGTTGTTTCTTAAGGTGCCTTGCTTTTATTTGTAACCAAATTCTTATCCTTGCTTTTAAGGCCCCTGGAGGAATTGCGACGCCGCTGGTTTACGGCCAACTTCTAGCCTTATATTTGTTGCATAATGACATGTAAGTGTTTATGAATGTTTCTCTTCAGATACTGAATAGTGTATTGATATTAAGTTCATTACTTTGATCTAGAGTTGCCAGGATTCTGTGTGACTAACAAAACAAATGTAGGGAGTATTGTGTAAAAATAAATGTAGGTAGAAACAAAAGGGAATTATTTCCCCTTATTAGGTCTGGGAATTATTTCCCCTTATTAGGATAACTGTCCTCCTTTATTTTTGCCCTTGCCTACGCTTTTTTTTTTTTTAAGATAGAGAAACATACTTTAGAAGAAGATTATTTAAGTAGTGAAAGTGGCTTTTGTGGAAGGTGTTGAGTGCTCCCATGTTTTGCTTTGTACCTTTTTAAGGCTGCTTGTTTTGAGTGTCACTGTGCTACTGCTTGTGGCTAGAGGTACTGTAGGATGACTTTAAAATTTCCAAGGTAAATGAGGGACACAGGTTGTTCTATTTTAGACATAGAGGGAAGATTTTTAACATGCTGAGATTGTAGCTCCAGATTTGTTACAAGTTCCAGCATCTGAACAAAGCTTTTGAAATCTCTTTGCAGCAAACGTTTGATTACTGAGAAGTTGTTTGTGTTTTTTAGGAATAATGCACGATATCTTTGGAAAAGAATTCCTCCTGCTATTAAATCTGTGAGTACTTTGTAAAATGCCTTTTGAATCACGTGAAAGCCATCTCATCTAAGCTTGCAAATGACTTTTTCCTCTGAGGATTCTGTTTGGTCGCTGGCTTGGGGATCAATGCTGTGCTATAAAGCACTTGCCCAGCAGATGGCACACGGGTCCTTTTAAGATTTAATGCCGTAGGTCTTTGTCATCTCCTTCCTTTTCCAAATTATCTGGTAAAAAGGAATTCAGTAAATCAGTGAGGCTCTTGCTGGAAAACCTCCTGATAGTGTAGTCAGCTGAAGGGAAAAAAAACCTCCTTTTGAAATTTTGGTCTCTGAGGCAGGGCTACATTCCTATAGAGTCTAATATCAAATGAAGGCGGAGATGTGAAGAGGAACTTCAGATAAGTTATAGCTTGAAATGGACTTTTTAAGGCACTTTGTTTTTTGTTGATGAGTCCATGGTTTTGAGGTGCTTATCTAGAACAATATGCAGCAAAGCAGAAGTAGCTCTTAAAACTAGTGGTGGCAAATAGTTATAGTGTGACTATGACACCTTACTAAATGAGGCATGTGGTCAAGTGTTCTGGTATTTCAAGCCCAAAATTCTCTTCATTGGGTGAATAGCCACAGTGCTGTAAGGTGCAAGGCCTCTGCATTGCAAGATGTTTGTCTGTGAGTTGAAAATGAGCGGTGCTTGCAACTTCAGCATGGGGTCTGAATGCAAATTGTTCTCTGTTTTGGGTAGTGTGCCAGCTGAATTGGTACAATTTCCATGTGAGCAGACTCCCTTAAACTCTGCTGACAGAGAGGGATAACTTCTGGCAAGAAGGTGGAACAGGGAGAATGCAGCAGGATATCTTGGGACTTGTCTGCTCCTCTTCACAGAACTCTGATACCTGCTTGCTGCTGGAGAGGAAGGGAGTAGATACGAGTTTTCTAAAGGATGGTCACTGTGGAGAATGCACAATTCTGGGCTAACTGGTTGTTTTTTTCACTCTAGGCAAATGCTGAACTTGGTGCAATCTGGTCAGTAGGACAAAGAATCTGGCAGAGGGACTTCCCAGGAATCTATACAACAATCGGTGCTCACCAGTGGTCTGAGACTATCCAACCCATCATGGAAGCTCTTAGAGGTACAGCCTGAGCAAATGTAGTCGGGGTGCCTGGAGCGAATTCTGTGCGCTCTGCAGAAACTGCTGCTTAGCATTAAGGGTAAAGTCACCAGGAGTATTACTGCCAAGTCTTGTAGGATTTGAGGATATCCTACAGGATACCAGAGGATTTGAGGTAGCAAATGGTTTAAAAAAAAAAGCTTACCACCAAAAACTTACAAGCATGGGCTGAAGTGCTTTTGCCTGTGCATATGTTATGAGACATTCTTTTGTAGTGCAATTTCATGTCTAATATATTTGATTCTGTAATGCCAAAATAGATTATTGTTATCCAATTTCTAAACAGGACTCTAGGGAACTTGGCTTGGCATTTCCAAAAGTGGTACCAATTATTTAAAGTAATTCTTTTGATATTAGACGACTTTTAGATTGTTAAGACTATGTAACAGTACTATGCAAGTAAATCTTCTTACTACTAGAGGGTGCTAGAGACTGCAGAAAAAAGCTTGTAAGCTATCTTAACAATGCTTTATATAACAATATATTTTGCATAGCTTTGTTTAAGGAAAAAAAAAAAAAAGATTTACAGATGCTCTTGTATCAAAACCACCATAGCGAAAGGGCATAAATAGTTGCTGTGAACTAGAATTGTTTTTTTGCACTAATTCTTATAGTTCTGAACTATTGCAGAAGTACAAACTTCTCTTGGGATCCGACTTGAGTGTTGAGTGCTGTCAAAGCAGTGTTTCCCAAATTGTGGTTTACATATTGGCAGTTGTACCAGGCTGCTGCAAACTGTGCTTGGGAGTCCCTCCTGCCTCTGAGGAGGGATTGTCCTGGCACAGAGCGAGCTGTTGTTTCTGGCTGTGACTGTGGTGGTTGAACAAAGTGTGAAAAGCGAGGGGGAACTCCTGGTCTAAAGTGTTAATGTCAAGGGCAGTAGTGGCTTTTCAAACAGACTTTTTTTTGTGCTGTTTAAACTGAAAATCTTTTCTCAAATGTTCTGTTTCTAGAGATATCATGTGTGTTTGTGGTGTTTTTCTTAGATGCAACTAGGAGAAGAGCCTTTGGTCTGGTTTCTCAGGCATATACCTCAATCATTGCAGATGATTTTGCAGCCTTCGTTGGGCTTCCTGTAGAAGAAGCAGTGAAAGGTATTTTGCATTTATTCCTTGCATGGTTTTTCTACAGGGAGTTGAGAAAAAAGGTGTAGCTGTAAGTGATTGTTAAAAGAAACTGTAATAAAGAGAAATTATGGAGTAATAAATAGAGATAATGGCTTAATTTTGAATGAGTGTTTGACTTTTGTTTTGCCATATTTACTACTGCAAAAATCCCTTTTTGTATGTAAAAGTGTTGAGGAATTTCAGCAATGAGAAAAGTAAAGGTATATTTGAATTAGTCTTATGTATTACTACTTTCATGAGTTTTGTTATTGAACTTAACGTATAAATGTTTGTAAGAAAAGGGCTTTGAAGTTGTGGTATATAGGTAGTGTATTGGGATATTTTTGTGATGGTCTTTGCATATCTTGCATATCTAGCAAATGTTACAAGATGGGTTTGTTCTTACAAGTGTAAAAATTGCCTTTTCAGGTGTATTGGAACAGGGCTGGCAAGCAGACTCTGCAACCCGTATGGTAATGCCTAAAAAGCCTGGTAGGTGGAGCTGCTATTTCATGATAAATTGAATTTGGCATTTTCCAATAATTCTGGATTAGCTTAATCAAAATTATACTGGATACTTTTTCAGTTACTCTTATGCATAATTATGCAGCTGTTAAACATGGAATGTTTATGAAATGTGAGAAACGCAAGTTTTAATTTGGTGTTACCAACATTAGGGACTAAACCAGATCCTCCATTAACATTTTAAACAAAAGCAGACAGAATATGCTATAACTTCTGCTGCTCCTCCTCTGCTGCTGGCTCTGATTCAGTGGAACAGAAGTTGGATGACCTCAAATGACATATCTAAATTTAATAAAGATGACTAAAAGTATCATTTTGAACGTGCAAACTTTTTTGGGAAGCTGGATGTTTTTAAGCAGGTATCTAGAGGGTCTTCCTGTGTTATGAAAAGATTATGCTGTTGGTATAATTTCTTTTGCTTTTAAAAACTCCCTTTTTTAACAGTTATAGTGGTGATAAAATCTGCTACTGCAAAGTTCAGCCTGGAAAATGCAATATCTATGGCTGCTTTCTCTTTGAGGTAAAAATGAAAATGTTAAGCTGTGAAGGCAGAAATGAAATGACCATCCTTAAATTCCAGAGTAAAGCTTTGGAAGGGAGTGGGGGGCAGACTTTCCTTCGTTCAAAAGTGCAACATCTATTAGGCTGGAGAGGAGAGAGAGGAGGGGGAAAAAAAAAAAAAGTGTTTGTTTGGGCAGAACTTTGAGGTTTTCAGAGCCCAGAACATGGAATTAAACGTGCTTCAGGCAAGGTGCTGAAATTCGTTTCTCAGGGGTGTGTTACCAACTGGAGTTCTGAGCTGTTGCTGCTGATCAGCTTTTTTCATAAACTGGTTGCAAAATATTGTGCTTACAAGTACTTAGAGCTAATTACTGATGGTTGTTTTCCAAAAGCGAATGGAAGAGCTATCACTGAAACAAATGAAGGAGACAGGAAGCCTCTTAGCTCTGAAGCTGCATGTCTAACTTTCTAAACCTTAAGGTTTCCTGATTATTTTAGCTATGAAATAAAACATGGAAAATGAGCAGGCCTAATTTTAATAGCTTGTTAGTTTTGGTGTGCCCATATATAAATGTTTAAAATTGTTCCACTAAGCTAATTTCATATTGTTCTTTTCAGGGGTACTGGAAGCTTGCTTTAACAGATTTATCCCTTCATCAGGTATTTCTCGTTTCTGTATAAATCTAGCTGCATATATTTAACCCTTGCATGACTTGAACATAAATAAAACTTTACCAGTACTACAAAGTAGAAAGAGGGTCCTAGAGAAATATCAATCCCCACCACAAAAAACCTCAATCAGGTGCTACTTAAAACTTGCTTCTCCTTCAGTTGCCTTTCTCTGATAGGAATGTGCCCAAGAGTCCCAGGTTTTTAGGTGCAGTAGGTTTCAAAGCAGGCTCTGTCAGCCTCTGGAAACAAAGGATCTTGGCTAAGGCTTTCGTCTTGAAGGCAAATAAGCAACTTGTAAAAATCTTCTTTTACAAGGAAAACTTCAGAAATGCCTCTTTACTTTCCCACTCTTCCTCAGAACTCAACCATAGGTTAAGCTGTAGTATTTTTTTCGTGCTGATGCTCAGAACGCTGTAGTCTCCAGGTATCAAAGAACGACTGTGGTACTAGTTCTGAACTGCTGCTTTGCAGTGCCTAATAAAGATGCCTCTGTTGTCTTTTATCCCCAGGAGGCTTAACTCCAAGCTGCTTTGAAGAGCCAGGGTTTTGCTTTATGAAACTCTTCTTTTAATCATCAGTTTTCTATCTTCCATGGTCTTGGAATGCATTTAGTTTAATTGTATTCTATATATTAAAGCCTGTCTTTGCAGTCTTTGCAAGAGTAAACATAATTTTCCTCCTATTTTGCTTCTGGCTTTAAATCCTGACTTAGCTCCCTGTTATAGGCACTAGCCTTGAGGTCTCAGGTTTTTTGTTGTTTGTGTAAGACTCAGCATGTGCACTGGTTTCTCTTGCAACCTGTGCAATGCTTTCTGCTGTGTTTTGTTACCCAGATAATCTGGTAGATGTATTTATTTTCAGTGTGGGAACTTAATGGAAAGATGCAGCAAAAGAGTTCCAGGAGCCTTTCTGTTGAGATGCTATTGTTTTCACTTTTTTATTATTTACAAGTACTCCTTCTACTACAGATTCAGTATATGCCAATTTGGAAGGTTCCTGAAAACTTGAATTTGTTGGAAGTGTATCCTATATTAGAAACTCTTATTCTAAATGTTGTGGATAGTAGAAAAGTAATCTGGCTGCCAAGCCTGTAGATGAAGGAGGTAGGGTTAAGAGACTGATGATAAGACTGATAATTAGTCTGATGCATTTTTTGAGTACTGGTTTGCTGGGTGGCGCCAGGGACTGATTTGCTTTCTTAATTTCATTCGTTATATGTTTGTTTTCTTTGTAGAACCTACTCCAGTTCCTCCAATTCCAAATGAACAACAGTTGGCCAGATTGACTGACTATGTGGCTTTTCTTGAAAACTGATAACCCTGCTCCTGTCTTCAGAACAACTTGGGAATCCCGTGTACTGACAGAGTTCTAGAAATCTAAGACTTATTTTATTTCTGTTAAATGTTGCAGCATCCCCTATTGAAATGCATAAAACATACAGCGTATATTATCTAGGTTGTGTTTTGCCAAAGCCGAGTTAGTAATTGAAAAAAATCCTTTGACTCCTGTAATATTTATTTGGTAGGTACACAGCAGTATTACATGGTAAGTTTTTTTATTGACTTGTAGCCAAGAAAGGCGGAACTTTTTTCAAGTATATAAAAATTGCAGAAGAGAAACTTTGAGTACTGAAGCAGGTTAAGTGTATTGAGGGATTTGTGTTAGTGGCTTACTTGCTTCTATTGCAAGTGCTGCAGTGTCACAGATCAATTGCATCTTGAACTCAAATGCGAAGAGGGGAAGGCTGCTCCTCCTGTATCGGTAGAAAGGGAGCATAGTGATGAAACAATAACTTTATGTAAGAAACCAATTTGCAGTAACTTTTTGCAGTTTTTTTTGGCGTTTTGATAACTTTCTTGCTTATTTTTTTCTGGATTGTTAAATCTTTCTTGTTTTGATTGAATTGAGAAGATTCTCATTGGGTATATTTTTTGCAGCCCAACATTGCGTGGGGGGCACCTAAAGGATAAGTTTTGGAGCTATTTCAGAAAGTCAAATCTTCGCTTAGAGAACGCACTTCTATTATTGAAGGCATTTTTGTGTGTCTGCATATTGGACAGCAGATATTTTGATGGGTAACATTTATCCCTTTTTCAAGAATATGAATATCATGGTTCTCTTCAGTACTCTGGGCCAGGGTCTGCTAGAAGCAGCTCTCATCTGTCTTGGCTTTCTGGATTACCTCTGCTGTCATTGGGAAGAAATTTAAAAATTAGAGTGGGTGTCCCAGAGTAAAAGCCAACAGGATGGAGATGATATTTTATGCTGCAGTGTTAACTTGAGGAGAAAATTTTCTATAACAAGGCACTGCTGCATTCCTGTTTCAGTTCAGAGTGGACTTCAGAAGCAGAAAGATGATGACTTAAGAGTTCCAGGCTTCTTTTGGTAAAAAGACAGTGGGAAAATAGTGGCATTTTAAAGGGAAGTGCTTGCCTTCACTGGCCTCTCCCCCTTCGCATGGCCTTCCAACATGGTATTCAGTGGCTTGTCAAGACATGGCGTGTGCTGCCTGTGATGGTTTTCCTAGTGTGCACAACCTACTGTACATTCTCCTGTTGGGGGATGTTGGTGAGAAGGAAGTCTAAACTGTGCATTGTGCTTTACACTTACTCAAAGTGATTATTTATTTGAAACCCACCTAGACTTGATCTTCTAAATATGATGCATATTCCTTTTCAGTGATATTAAAGAACACGTTTATGCTGACCTTGTGTGCTTGTTCTTTAATTCTCAGAGTGCAGTTGTTCCAGTTTGGCTAGTTTCTTAATGGATTCTCTTAATTGTCTAACTTGGGTTGGTTAAATATTAGTGTGCTACCTTATGCTGGGGCCAGTATTTAAAGCAGCTGCATATGGGGAGAATGTATGAGTTATATTACAAAAAGGTGGTATCATTCAGGTGTTTTGTACATTATTGAAAGGCATAAAGTATTTGAACTAAGACCACTTCCCCTTTCTGCATATAAATATATATTGTGCAAGTCTTTCGGGCTGTCACTGCATCCAAGAGCAAGTCTTGCAACAGTGAAGGCTAGACTTAGTTAAGGGATAACCCCTTCTGTTTCCATTTATCCTATTTTCGTTTTTGTTTTGAATCTAAGATACTCCAGGTTGTTTTTATCCTTGTTCTTTGTATGACATCTAGCTCAAATATTTTTGAGCTGGGGTGCTTGTTGTGCAGTGGGTGTAGCATGTTTTGCTGCTCTGGCAGAATGTTTTCTGTTTTTCTTGATCCTTCCTAGGGCTGGCTCTGTTTTAACAGCTCCTAAATACTGTCCTGCTCTGAGTAGGAGTGATGGTGATTTCAGTATCTCTCCTTGGCAGCTGGTTAGTGTGCATGGTAATATTTTTCTCTTTACTAATAGGATGTTGCTCACTATGCTCTTCTGTCAGTTACTGTATTGATGTTAGTCTGAAGCATCACTTGACAAGTCTTAATCTGTTACCCATGATAATTTAATACAATTGGCTTTATAGGAAATACTGCTGCTAAGCTGTCGTGAGAGCTTTAAGCAACTTTTTTGACCTTTGAGCTCTTAAAGTCAAATTTCTAAATTTTTCTGCACAAGCTCCTAAAATTAACGAACCATTTTATCATGCAGGTGACTTTATCATCTGGTTCAGAGTAACTATAAATAGGAAATTGTAATGTAGTGGGCAGTTTATTGTAGCCCCCTGTTGAGGTTGTGAGGCTGTCCTGAGTGATTTGGTTTCTGAACTTCCTTCTGTCAGAGATGACTTGCAAAATGGGAGTGATGGCTGCCTCAAAGTACTATGAAAAAATGGGCTTCTGTTTTAAAGTCAGATCAAAAAGTTTGAAGTTATAGTAGATAACTAGGACAAGTCACAATTTAATGATTGCAGAAAATGTATTTCAGTATTAGCAAGTGATCAATAGGTAGAAAGAAGGATGTTACTGTGTAATATAGTGTCTAATAAAAGATTAAATTGACTTCATCATTCTCTGAATAGTGTGAGAAATCTGTCCATGGAGCTGTTCTTTACCACAAAGCAGAGAATTGCATGCCTTTGATATCAAAGGTAGATGAGTTTGCTTCACTTACAGGCAGTGAGTAGTCTGAACACAGGAACAATTTTTAGACTTGCTGTAACTCAAGTTATGGACTTGAATCAGTGACTATATTGAATACTATGGAAAAATGCAAGCAAAACCTTGTGACGTGTGATATTTTAAGTCTTTGTTTAAAAAACAGCCTTTTTTGTCTTGGAGTTTTACAGTCCCCAAGGGGTCAACTTCTGCTCAATGGAAATATTAGAAATAAATGAACTGGGTTCAAGGATTCCAGCTGAGATATTCACTGCTTTGGCAAGTTTAGCACAGCTTTGTGCCTCTTTTTCCGGAATAGAGTCCTGTCTCTGTAAGCAGCTTATGTATATTGATGCCAAAAGAGAGATCACTTGGCATTTGTTTACTTACCTGGGCTGCTTTAACCCTGTGTTTTTAGTTCAGCAATGAGGAAGTGCTTTGGTCACATTTGCTTTTAAATTGAAGGGGGAAATGTGTGTGTTGGAGTCCTTGCAGTCTCAGGAGTGGGAGGACCTTTGGACATGAATAAACCATTAAGAATATGAGTTGGAAAGAGTCTTGATGGACTTGGGGAGAAAATCCCTTTTGAATTTAGCATTTGAGTCTGCATGCCAGTTGTAATTCAGTGTTGGATTCTTCATGTCGCATTTGTCTCTCCTGCATAGGTCAACAATGGTCGCTTAACAATGGTCCTGATCTCTGCTGAACATGCTTCAGCTCAGAGGTAGACAACTCTCTTGGCTTAAGAAAATGAGATTATGGAGGCAGAAGGGAAGAGGAAGCTTCTGTGCTGAAGAGCCTCATGGAAAACTGCCTGGGCTTAGCTCAGCAGGTTCTCCAGGATCTAATCTTACACTTGGAGGAAAACAGTTTTGCTGTGGGAATGGCACTGACCTGACTGCAGTCTGCCCAGGATGTTTTTGGTGCTGCACATACCCCCATTAGCTGATGGTCTTTTGTATTTTGTGGTCTCATTGGGATTTGTGAGCCAGGAGAGGCTTCTCAGCACTGCTCAGCTACACAGTGTGTGCAGTGATGTGCTACTGGCCGCTACAGCTTCTGAGCATTAGCAGAGCTTGATGGATAAAAAGGTTGTCTGCTCAGCCTGGTGCTAATGAATTCCTCGGACAGTGTGAAGGGGCCAGCTGTGGTCCAAGTTTATTCAGGTGATTTGTCCAAGCCCAAGATAGACACCACTGTGCTTTGGGGATCTCATTAGCTGCTTTACTCTCACTGTCAATCTCTTCCAGGGAGCCTCTCAAATGAATGCTGAAGATTATTCAAGTTATTTATGAGAACTCTAGGTGAGGAGAGAGCCAACAAGGAAAGCTTTTCACTGAGTCTGTATTTCAGCTGCTTGAGGAGTGCAAGGAGTTAAGATCCCATGTAAGTAGCAGGAATCAGGGAAATACCTTGGGTGAGTAGTTTGTGCCTGTGTCCTCCCCTGCTGGAGCTGGCTGGGCTATCCTGCATTCAGTGTGCTGGTATTTTCCCTCTGACCCGGGGAGGGCTGTCAGGGCTGCCTGGTTTGGCCCTGCAGGTTCAGTAACCACAAGCAGGTCAAAGCCTCTGGTGTCTGGCTCCCAAGATTGAGAGAAACTGATTTGAAGCCTTTGTAGGGGATTGGAAAGTGCATAGAATCCATGCTTGGTAATGGCCAAGTATGACTGACATATGAAAGCAAGAGGGGAATGCAGGAGTTCGTTTGGAGTGGGCATGGTTTTATAGAGACCAGGGCACTGCAAGCCCACAGTGAAGCCTTCTAGTTCAGGTCCTCAGTGTTGACCTCACCAATCTGTTCCAGTTTACTTAAATGCTCATTTTTCTACTATGCAAACTCCTGGAACTTCTTCTTTATGCAGTTAATGACTGATGAGCTTCTTGGAGTCTGTATATGAAAGCCAAAATCAATCTGTTTGTTACAGTTCAGGATTTTTGTCTGTCAGAAATGATGGAAACTAAAAGCAAACAGATGTTCTACTGAGGTGCTTCAAACTGCCGAAATGTTGAGGTAATAGTCTGCTCTGCTTTGATGCCAGCTCTCTTAAATGTGAGAAATGCTACTCCATGCTGATGCTGGGCCTTGTGGTTTTTTGTTGGAGGTGATGCAGGAGTTGTCACTGGCCACCTTGCTGCTTCATCATCCCTGTGCTCGGAGGCTGTTTAACTTGCATGGAGTACCTGCCAACTGTGATTAGCTGGAAATGCTTCCTAAAAAGAGCTCCCCCAAACCCTTGCATTTGTCAAGTGCTAAACAGCTCAAACAAAATAGGGTTTTACAGTCGACTGCCAATGGATCATGACAGCAAGTGAAAAGCAAGGCAAGTTACTACTTTGTAA